CAATTTCCTCACATCCCAATGAAGCAGAGATCCAACCGTGTAAAGTGGTGTAAATGCATCACTCCAGGAAGATCACAGCTAGGAAGGGAACGCACGTCCAAGCTGCTACTGCTGCTGCTTTTGCCATCTCTCCCATCCTCTGAGCACCTTTTCATCAGTACCGTGCCGGTGCTGGCCTGTTTGTAAATGTTGGCATGTATGTCGCACATGGCTTTAGTTAGAACAGTCGCCGCATGCCTGTCATCCATTTTTAAAGTGAGTCTTAATCCCTATAGCAGACTCATGACTGGTGTTACAAGGAACCCAGAAGAGAACACAGGCCCTCAAGAATGTTTTTGACTTGGAGAGGGCTCACTGTTTTGCAAGGGAGTATATCATTTTTGCATGGAAGCAGCCATTAAGTTCTTTCCATCATTCTAACTTTAATAGCTGTGTTGTATGGCTGTGCTTTTTTTGACTCTTGACTTCTTTCGGGCCTGTAGGAAGAGCCTGGGCAGTGGGCCCCGCCTTGGGGCTCTCACTGTGCCCTCACATTACTTTTCATTTCTTTGACATCTTTCTCATTCAAAATGACGAATGAACCTTTGTACTGTGCAAGTTGTAGTATTCAGTGACAGGGTATTATGAGCTCTTTGTGCACGTAATTCCATGTTATGAAAACCTTTCACCAACTTCTTAAATTGGCTGGTTTGAAGTGCACATTGTGTTATGGCATAATCTGTATTATTAAGAATATGAATTGGGGAATTAGCATTAGATCTTTCAGAAAGAATTGGGAATTCAAAGAGAAAGACTTGCCTTCATTCTTCGGTCTTGATTTAGGGTATGTTATTTAACATGTCATTTCTTCTAAGTATCTGACTTCAGTTTCTTCATGGGACTTGCTGAGATGATTTCAAAACTTTTGTTTAACTATATTTTGGGAACATTTACCAAGACGTTTCTTAAAGACAATAATCCTTTCTTCAATTGCTGCTGTTTCTGAAAGATAAACCAGAGTTTGTGGTTCATGATAAGCCAAAGACATGGTCTGTAATAAATAGTGTTGCTAGACAGACACTGTACAGAGCACATCATTGAGGCTGAGTTTCCATCTTTAGGAGCTTGGCATCAATGACGAAGAACGTGAGCACATATGAAGATATGGGAGATATACTGACAGTGGAATACTAAAACACTGACTACATATGTGTGTCTCTTCAACAGGACTTCACTCATATAATTTTGAATTTATTCCATGAGCTAAGACACAAAGTCATACTAAGGAATAAAACATTTCCTGGAGTTCAGGAATTTCAGGGTTACCTTCTTGCCTCATGAACGCTCTTAATTCACCCTTTCACTTTATTTGTGCATTTTGATTCAATCAATTCTGTTTGTTGAACAGCATTTAAGTGCAGATTCTCTGGGCAATCTCTAGGCTACCTCTCAGATCCATCCTCTATTGCTGTGTGACAAATTACCCCAAAACTTTGTGGCTTAAAGCAACTTAGAGGTTTTGCTGGATGGTTGGGTTTGAGTGTCTTGTGAGATTGTGGTCAAGATGCCAAGTGAGGCTGCAGTCACCTGAAGTCTTGCTGTCTCAGATGACTCATTTTGCTGGAAGTTGGTACCAGATGTTACAGGAAGATGACTCACTTTGCTGGGAAGTTGGTACCAGATGCTACAGGAAGATGACTCACTTTGCTAGGAAGTTGGTACCAGATGTTACAGGAAGATGACTCACTTTGCTGGAAGTTGGTACCAGATGTTACAGGAAGATGACTCACTTTGCTGGAAGTTGGTACCAGATGTTGTAGGAGGATGACTCACTTTGCTGGGAAGTTGATACCAGATGTTACAGAAAGATGACTCACTTTGCTGGGAGGTTGATACCAGATGTTACAGGAAGATGACTCACTTTGCTGGGAAGTTGATACCAGATGTTACAGGAAGATGACTCACTTTGCTGGGAGGTTGATACCAGATGTTACAGGAAGATGACTCACTTTGCTGGAAGTTGGTACCAGATGTTACAGGAAGATGACTCACTTTGCTGGAAGTCGGTACCAGATGTTGTAGGAGGATGACTCACTTTGCTGGGAGGTTGATACCAGATGTTACAGGAAGATGACTCACTTTGCTGGGAAGTTGATACCAGATGTTACAGGAAGATGACTCACTTTGCTGGGAAGTTGATACCAGATGTTACAGGAAGATGACTCACTTTGCTGGGAAGTTGATGCCAGATGTTACAGGAAGATGACTCACTTTGCTGGGAAGTTGATACCAGATGTTACAGGAAGATGACTCACTTTTCTGGAAGTTGGTACCAGATGTTGTAGGAGGCCTCTTCTCCTCGCCACGAGGGCTGCAGTCTTTCCCAGAGCAGTGGCCCAAGAGAGATCAGGGCAGAAGTGCAATGTCTTCACCTGGCCTCAGGGGTTAGACTCTGGCATCTCCTTTGGCTCCAGGGATCAGCACTGTTCAGTGTGGGAACATCTATCTAGGGTATAAATACCAGGAGGTGAGAATCCGGAGGCCATCCTGGAAGCTGGTTATGGTAGCCCCGGATATTTGGAGGTGAGTCTGCCCCACTGTTTCCCCTCCTCAGGTAAGCAAGTTTCCATGGGACAGTCCTCATTTAAAGAAATAAGCCAGTTGATTGGGAGAACCTTCGACACGTGGTTTCCCAGTGTGCTCCTCGGTACGTGCACATGCCTGTTAACTGACAGCTTGCAACCCCAAGCCTCACTCCCTTCCTCCAGCCTCTCCGTGAGAAATTCTCATCGAGCGCCCATTGTGTACTTCACCGTTCCTTACCGAGGTCACCTTGGTATGAGGAAAATCGAAGATCTGGGTTACCCTCACGAGCTGGCTTCAACCCCCTCTCAGTTTTCTGACTTCAGTCCCCATGGAAAGAATCCTGGGCACCTCACCCATTGCTGGTGGCCCTGCGATGAGTCCAGGGAGTACGGATCCCATCGGAAGCTGGCTCGTGTGCCCCGGAGGCCGCTTTTTCTGCACCTGTGGCCTCGCTTCTGGGGTGGGTTGAATTGGGTACACCCAATGCATGTATTGAAGTTCAGATCCCTGGTACCTGTGAATGTGACCTGATTTAGAAAAAGGGTCTTTGCAGGTGTAATTAGGTAAGATGAGATCACAATGGAGTAGAGTGAGCCCTCCATCCAAAATGACTGGTGTCCTTGTAAAGAGAAGAGACACAGAGACAGAGAAACACAGAGGAAAGACAGCCATGTGACAATAGGGACAGAGACTGCTGTGATGCTAGGAAGAGGCCAGGGAGGACCCTTCCCAGGAGCCTTTGAAAAGAACACGGCCCAGCAGACGCTTTGTTCTTGGACTTCTGGCCTCCAGAACCGTGAGATGATCCATTTCTATTGTTTTAAGTCCCCCATTGCATGGTGCTTTCTTACAGCATCCTTGGCAAACTCACACACCATCCAGAAAAATTACATCTGATGATGTTGTTACTGCTTCACAACTCTTGGGAGCGGTTTAGCAGGAGGGGGAGGTGCGGGAATTGAGGGAAATCATGTCACCTGCACTAGACATTTGCAAGTCAGCCAGTTTCTCTGAGAGAGTAAGAAAGCAATTAGAGAAAAGACTAATATTGATAATAATAACAACAATAAGAATTACTGTGTATATGTGATTAGTCAAGCACTTAAGAACTTTACTTGCATTCATTAAAAAATTCCTCACATCAACCCGATGGAAGGAATGTAGAAGAACAAACAGTAGATGAGGATATTATTTGACCAAGGACTCTGAGAGGAGTGATGCTCATGTACAAATATTAGGACTTGAGGGGGCCAAGTCCTGAACCAATGAGCCAACGGAGATCCAGACATCAGCCCTCAGTGCTGGGCAGTGCTGCGCCCTGCAAGCCTCTTGCACAGACAGGGCCCTGCCTGCTAAGCAGTGGGCAGTGCCCCAGAAAGAGGCTGGGGGAACTGAGCAGTTCCTCCTCCCAGTTACCCCTGCCTTGGAGAGGCTGGGAGTACACTCACGCAGGGAAACCCAGGGTGGTGGGGCTGCCCCTCACGGCCACCTGGGGAGGCTCGACTTTTGCTGAGGGTGGGTTGGAGAAGGCACAGGAAACTTGGGGATTACAGGAGACTCTTTTTTTTTTTTTTTTTTTTTTTTTTTTTTTTGGAGTCTCGTTCTGTCCCCCAGGCTGGAGTGCAGTGGCACATCTCGGCTCACTGCAAGCTCCGCCTCCCAGATTCACGCCGTTCTCCTGCCTCAGCCTCCCAAGTAGCTGGGACTACAGGCGCCCACCACCACACCTGGCTAATTTTTGTATTTTTAGTAGAGATGGGGTTTCATGGTGTTAGCCAGGATGGTCTCGATCTCCTGACCTCGTGATCTGCCCGTCTCGGCCTCCCAAAGTGCTGGGATTACAATGAGCCGCCGTGCCCAGCCTAACAGGGGCCTCTTTTAAATACAAAGAAGCCCAGTCAAGACCAGTGGGATTTGTCTATGATCCAATAAGTGTTTTCTTTGTATTCAGTTTAGGGGAGGAATTGACTTGGGCATTGAGGAGCCATTTCCAGGGAGCACAGCAGGAACAGAGGGGCCGGCACCATCTATCTCTCAATGCACCCCCGGGGGTCAGGAGCCAGTGCCATCTCTCAATGCACCCCCAGGGCTCAGGAGCCAGTGCCATCTGTCCATGCCCCTCCAGGGGTCAGGAGCCAGCGCCATCTCTCCACACCCTCCTGGGGGTCAGGGCGGTCACAAGGTGTCTTCTGGGTGGCACTGACCACCACCTGGAGCTGCCTTTCACAGGGAGCCCTCATCTGCCTGCAAGGGCCTTTGGAGATGTCCACAGAGCTGTCTCCAGGAGACGCTGGGGAGGGTGGGCGAGGAGGGCTGACCATGGGCAGCAGTGCCGGGAGGGCCCACACCCCACTCTGGGAGGGTTGCCTTTTCTTCTTCTTCTTCCTTTTCTATTTACCTGGATCGAAATGACTTCGAATCCCACCATTTTTCAGTTTACGTCCACGTGTTCTCCGCCTTGATTGTGATCGTCGCTGGGGCCTTCGTCATCACCATCATCTACAGGTTGGTCCCTTTGTTCTTCATCAGGAGGGTGGGGAGGAGGGGACTCACGTCTCCTGGCCGCAGCCTCCCGCCCGACTGGGCTCCTTTGGGCTTGGTGCTGCTGGGGTAACTGAGAACAGCTCTCTGTGAGCCTGGGAATGGGAACTGGCCAGGTAGGGAGGGCCCCACTGATCTTCTCCAGAGTGCTTCTTGATGACAATCCTAACCCACATTTAGTGAGCACCTGAGACTCTAAGCGCTTTGCTCAGCCTATTCAGCCCTCACAGCCACTGACGATGTAAGTGCTCTTCCCGTCCCCAGATTGGGATGATTGACGCAGTATCGAGGGGGTCCCAAGGCTGATGGATGGGGCAGTGCGGCTCTAACTCAGACTCCCAGTTGTCTCAGAGCCCCTGAAGCCAAGGCTGCCTGCACCTCTTGGCCTGTGGCCTTCGTCCTCATTGCAGGGTGTCAGGGTTTGGAGACATCTCAGAGATGAATCTACTCCCTCTCATTTTAATGGTGAGGAAATGCAGACCTTGGGGGCCAAGGCAGCAGGTGGCTGTCCCCAGGACAGGGCTGGAATCCAGCATCTCACGCCCCGGCCAGTCACCTTTGCCAGGAGCCCACTCTGTGTCGTGCGTACAAGCCCCTGAGATTATTCCAGTCTCTTTGTCCGGGAATGAGTAAAGCCATTTTCCTACCATGTGTGGTGCTATATGCTGTCTTATGTGTGTTAATCATGAGGATGAACCGGCAGTAGCCTGCAGTGCAACACACACCTTCCCCTGCCCGGAGCTGTTTTTGGGAGTTTAGCTGCCTCATACGATCATCTGTTTGGAGCCTGCACGAGAAACTAAAATGAGGCTGGATGTGGTGGCTCATGCTTGTAATCTCCCAGCACTTTGGGAGGCTGAGGTGGGAGGATCACTTGAGCCCAGGAGGTGGAGGCTGCAGTGCGTCGTGTTTGTGCCATTGCACTCCAGCCTGGATGACAGAGCAAAACTGTCTCAAACAAATAAATAAATAAAAAATAAAAATAAAAAAGAGAGACAGAGAGAAAGAAACAAAAATGAGAACTATTACATCAAAGCACTTACCTTAAAAAATAAGTATGCATGATCAGGAACCTATGTTTTCAGAGGGATGTCCTGGCAGGCAGGAGGGGGGACCTGGAGAGTTTTCCATCTGTAACTTCCCTGACTGTGATAAAACTCTTTTCCCATTAGAGTCGTTCAGGAGAGCAGGAGACAAAGGGCCGTCCCTACGGATGTCGCGCTGCCACACAAGTCCAGCAAAAAGGCGAAGGTGACCTCATCTAGCAGCAAATTAGGGCTGAAGGCTCCGAGTCCTGGGCCTCCAAGTGCTCGGCCCTCAATGAAGACTGACATAGACAAGGATGATGGTGAGAAGCTTCTGGAATGATCCTCAGCCTAAGGTTGAGGGCGTGGTTCTGTTCCCTCGGGAGACCTTCCCTGGAAAGGGGCTCGGCATCTACACAGGCCCTTCAACCTCAGCGATCAGTGTTGCAATTTGTTCAAAATTCGAATGTACCCAACACTGGAGGTTCAGGTTTGCAGTTTTCCCTCTGTGAGTGTTGTCCTCCCCCTTCCCGTCCCCTGCTGCCTCTCTGTCATTTCCCCGTCTGGCGGGGCCCTCAGTGTCAGTGCGGGAGGCTCCCGGGGAGCGGGTGAGAGTCCCGAAGAACCTGCGCATTTGATCAGGTGACTTCCTGCAGGGAGGCTGCCAGGTTGCTGTGGGTACTGTCTGTGGCGCCCTGGCCGCATGGTGGTCGTGGTTGTGAGGGGAGGCTGCAGGGCTGCCGTGGGTACTCTCTGTGGCGCCCTGGCCGCGTGGTGGTCGTGGTTGTGAGGGGAGGCTGCAGGGCTGCCGTGGGTACTCTGTGCACCCTGGCCGCGTGGTGGTCGTGGTTGTGAGGGGAGGCTGCAGGGCTGCCGTGGGTACTCTGTGCACCCTGGCCGCGTGGTGGTTGTGGTTGTGAGGGGAGGCTGCAGGGCTGCCGTGGGTACTCTCTGTGGCGCCCTGGCCGCATGGTGGTCGTGGTTGGAGAGGTGGATGATCACTCTATGCCTGCCTCGGTTTCCAGGAAGGAAAGTTGCTCGTATGTTGGTTTACCTGCTTTGAGGGCCCTGGGAAGTTGCTGGTTGCTTTTCCTAGATCAGCACCCTGCCAGGTTAGAGAAAGAAACATCTCAAATGGTAATCCTTATCTTCAGAGATGTTTGCACAGGAATACGAATGGCCTGGACTTATCCATTGTTACTAAGTAGACTTGGCTTTACAGGGACCATCAGGAAAAGCAGGAGGCAGGGTAAGAGGGCGACCTATGCTTCATTTCAGATCTGGAATGCCTGGCCCCTAACCGAGGCTGCATCTGTGCGAATGAGGCTTTCCTGCAGGACAGATGTTTGCCTGGTTAAGGGAGCCTCCTGTGTGCGAGATGATGTGGGAGGAAGAGTGTTATACTGTCTTAAAAAGATGCTTCTTCCCTGGAATGCACGGAGAAACACGGGGCAGCATATGGCCATCCCCAAAACTGGCTTTTGAGTCAATCATTGCCAATCGGACACCTTGTAGATGGGTTCAAAGACCCTGATGAAATCTTTTTGGGACTGCTGAACATTCCATTTGAAAAAACAATTCTTCTTTTCTAAAAATCTAGTAACAGTGACAATAGCAGAAACCGAAGAAACTGAGGACTGACTGAAACGCATGAAGAAGTGGAGATTGGCAGAATTATCCAAATGAAATGGTACAGCAGGTGCACTGTTAACAGTGTGATGGAATGACCACCCAATGAGAAAAAAATAAAGGTATTTTGAAAATTGCTTCTCGTCCGATGCTGCTTATCCATTGCTATATTTTTATCTTAGGAGAGAGAAAGCCTGTGGGGTAGGAGAGTGGGAGCCTGAACTTTCAGTTTTAATGGCACTGCTTGTCACTAATATTAACACCATGGGGGCTCACAGCACGGGCTCAAGGTGGTGTTGTCGCATGGTGGTCATGGTTGTGTGGGGAGGCTGCAGGGCTGCCGTGAGTACTTTCCAGAAGGCAGGCTGCACTTTCACCAAGAGTGGGCTGCCACACTGACGCAGGCGGTTCAAGACTCTGGCATTTGGCTTTGCTAGGACTTGGTCATGCCGCAAGGGAGGAGCAGCGTTTGGATCTGGATCTGAGAGGCCCCAAAGCGTAGGCCGTAGCTTCCTGAGAGCCCCTCATGCAAGGCAGTGCGCTCAGTCCCAGAGTGGCCGACGGACGCTCACAGGCACCCCAGGCTGGCCCAGGGCAGCCCACGGATCTTGGAGGCTGCATTTTCTCACTTCGAAAATGTGCATTCTACACAGGAACCATGGCCCTTATGTCCACGCATTGCAGCTTTGAAAAAGGATAATAAACAATCCAGATAGACCAGACACATCCTGCTCCAAGGAGTATATGGATGAGAAATCAGTTTGCATGAGCCTCTGGAAGCCCCTCGTCCGCTTTCTGCCTGGTCAACCTTGTCAGCTGCGGATGGGCTTGGCCCAGGGTCTGCACTGCTCTAGGGCTTCCTGCGGGGGGAAGTTATGGAACTGCTGTTAGCCCCTTTCTTCTCACGGGCACCTCACTGGCTTTAGGCCAATCGGGCTCTTGTATTGGTGTAGATCAGGTGACCGCACACTTTTTGTAAAGGGCCAGAGAGCTGGTATTTCATAGAGTGCACCTGTGTACTCTCTGTGCACCCTGGCCGCATGGTGGTCATGATAGAGCTGTGCAGATAGGGCTCGGTGGCCCTACCTGGTAGATGTTTCCAGCGTGGCCCGGACCATCCCTTGCAGAGATGAGGCAGAATGGATGCCCCCACAAAATAACACTTAAAGCCCCAGGTTTGTTGGAGGCATGCCTACTTCAGAGCTTTCGTCCTTAGGAGGAAGCGGCGCACAGAGCGGCCTCCCAGCAGCCACGCTTCCTGGACAGTTGGGTCTTTGCTGCCTGTGGCTCCCCTGATGACTCCTCAGTCACTGGAGAGCAAGTTACTGGGTGGAACACATCCACCTTTGTGGACCCTTTTGCTGAAGCCCTCAACCCTGCCCTCTTCCCTGAAAACAATCATGATCCAGCCTGAAAAAAGTGCCAGGTTATTGGTGGACTGGATGCTCGTCAGAGACGTTAGGGGTCACCTGGGGTCTCAGGACAGCAGATTGTCCATATAATTGTTAAACGCCTCCCTGCAGTGGACATCTTGTGGTGGACATAGGTTCTGAGAGGTTCACACACGTGTTTCTCACCTTGACCCCTGATAGAGTTTGGATGCTCGTCCTCACCCATATCTCATGTTGAAGCGTGATACCCAGTGTTGGAGGTATGGGACCTGCTGGGTGGTGAGTGGGTCACAGGGGCAGATCCCTCATGAGCAGCTTGAGCCATCCTCTTGGTGACAAGTGAGCTCTCTCTCTGAGCTCACATGAAATCTGGTCATTTGAAAGTGTGAGGCACCTCCCCCCACACCCTCCCTCCTGCTTCTGCTTTCATCGTGTGATGCGCCTGCTCCCACTTCTCCTTCTGCCATGATTGGAAGCTTCCTGAGGCCTCACCAGGAGCTGAGCAGATGCTGGTACCATCCCTTTGCAGCCTGCAAACCGTGAGCAAACTGAACCTCTTTTCCTTATAAGTTACCAGTCTCAGGAATTCTTTGTAGCAGTGCAAGAACAGCCTAATACAACCCCCTTGACACTAATTTCCCAGTCTTATTCTCTTCAAGCCCATGGCCAGCTGGTCAACTCATGAGCCACTGCCCACAAGTTGATGTGAATCAGCACCCCAGGGCATGTCTTCTTCCATAGAAAGTGGATCGTGCCACACAGTTTGCTCACTGGGAGGGTCTCCTTTTATCACTGGGTTTTGTGTGAGGCCACAGCACAGGATCTGCCTACTTGCCACAGGGCTTGTGTACTGTACAGGTCCACCCATGAACCTACACTTTTAAGAACTGGTTTCTACCGGAGCCTAATAGCAAGCCAAGAACTGCTTTTGGAAAGGAGATTTGCCAACAGAAGAGGGGATAACCTCACTCAAATCTTCAGAGATTTGTGCAATGATTCTCCTATTAGAACTTGCCAGGTGGGTCCCTCCAGTTTCTCAGTATGATTCAGACTATTCTCGAGGTCTTAGGCCTGCAGGACAAGGCAGAAGACTTGCCATTGTCCTGAATAAGGTGGTTGTATAATTTATAATCCAAACCTGGACTTTTGAAAGTGAAAGGAAGTGCTATTGATAATTCTGCCAGAACAACAGGTGTACCTGGGCCTTGGCAACGAAGCAACTCATCAAAGGCATATTGCTGTTGCTGCTACATGAAGGCAGTTTCTCATTTTTCTTTATGGATGCACTGGAATAAAATATTTTTCAAGTTGACAACTGCAAACTGGTTGTGTACCAGCTGATTTATTCTAGTAAAGGTAAATGTACAATTGCACCTGCCATTGTCATCAACACCTCACTAAATCTGCGTAATTTACTGTTACTCTCCAAGACCCATGTGGCTGTTGCACTTGCTAAACAGGTGAGTTAAATGAAAAGTGTGACAGGAATCATCACTACAGTAGTCCATTTTCACACTGCTATAAAGAACTACCTGAGACTGGGTAATTTATGAAGAAAAGGGTTTAATTGACTCACAGTTCCACAGGCTTGATGGGATGCATGGCTGAGAGGCCTCAGGAAACTTACAATCATGGAGGAAGGTGAAGGGGAAGCAGTAAAGACCTTCTTTGGTGGCAGGAGAGAGAGAGAGAGAGAGAGAGACAGAGAGAGAGAGAGAGACAGAGAGAGAGAGAGAGAAAGTGCCACACACTTTTAAACCATCATCAGATCTCATAAGAACTCACTATCGCAAGAACAGCAAGGGGGAGGGGGATATCTGCCCCCATAATCCAGTCACCTCCCACCAGGGCCCTCCTCCAATATGACATGAGATTTGGGTGGGGACACAAATCCAAACCGTATCAATCACCCAGGCACCAGGTCTTTGGTGGAGGCACTAATATTTGAAATCTCCTTGGAATATGATACCACTTTTTCTTCTTAACAGCTTTATTGAGGTATTATTGGCATATAACAAAGTGCACATATCTAAAGTATACAATGTTGCAAGTTTGGCATATGAATACACCCATGAAATCATCACTACAATCAAATTAATGAACATATCCATCTCTCAAAAGTTGAATCAGGCTCCTTTGTGATTTCTCTCACCTGCCCTTCTTCACCCTTCCTATCATGCCCAGTAACCGTGGATCTGCTCATTGACACCAGAGATTAGTTTTCATTTTCTATAATTGAATTGTAAAGTATGTGTTCTTTTTTGTCTGGTTTCTTTCACTTAGCAGAGGCATTTTGACATTCAGTCATGTTGATGTGTTCATCAATGGTGCATTGCTTTTTATTGCCGAGTAGTATTCCTTCATGCATATACCACATTTGGTTTTTCAGTCACTTGTTGATTGACATTTAGGTAATTTCCAGTTTTTGCTTATTACAGATAAGTCTTCCATGAATATTCACATACAAGTTTTGTGTGGACATATGCTTTCATTTGTTTTGGGTAAAGACCTAGGAGTGAAATGGCTGGGCCACGTGGTAGATGTATATTTATTTTATTTTATTTTATTTTATTTTATTTTAAGACAGAGTCTTGCTCTGTTACCAGGCTGGAGTGCAGTGGTGTAATCTCAGCTCACTGCAACCTCCGCCTCCTGGGTTCAAGTGATTCTCCTGCCTTAACCTCCCGAGTAGCTGGGACTACAGATGAGTGCCACCATGCCCAGCTAATTTTTGTATTTTTAGTAGAGATGGGGTTTCACCATGTTGGCCAGGATGGTCTCGATCTTCTGACCTCGTGATCCACCTGCCTCAGCCTCCCAAAGTGCTGGGATTACAGGCATGAGCCACCATGCCCAGTTGTATATTTAACTTTTTAAGAAACTGACAACCTGTTTTCCATTTTCAGTTCCTAGCAGCAGCTGAGAGTTCCAGTTGCTCCACATCCTTGCTGAGATTTGGTCTGGTCAGTCTTTTTAATGTTAGCTATTCTAACAGGTGTACACTATCATCACATTGTGATTTGAATTCGAAGTTCTCTAATTACTGATGATATTGAACTTATTATGTGGATATAGTTTGTTTGCTTTTATTAGCAAAGTGTCTATTAAAATCTTTCGCCTATTTTTTACTGAGCTGTTTTCTTATTATTGAGTTTTGAGACTTCTGCATATATTTAGGTACAAGTCTTTTTTTTTTTTTTTTCAGACAAATGACTTGTAAGTATTTTTTTTTTCTCAGTATGTACCTTGTGTTTTCATTCTCTTAACAGTGTTTTTCAAAGAGATGTTCATAATTTGGATGAAATCCAATATACTCATTTTTCATTTTATAGATCATGGTTTTCTCTCTCTCTCACTCTCTTGTAGTCTAAGAGGTCTTTTCTGAATCCGAGGTCATAAAGATATTGTACGTTGTTTAATGATTCATCCTGAGATAATTTGTCCATCAGCTACAAGGTGTGAATTGAAATATAAATTTTGCATGTGGATATTCAGTTGTTCTGACACTATTGAGAAGTCCTTTCTTTCTTCACTGAATTCCCTCTGTACCTGTGTTGAAAATCAGTTGACATATCTATCTGGGGTTATTTCTGGACTCTGTTATGTTTCACTATTTTGTCTCTAGCTTGATGATGCCATCCCACATTCTCCTTATTACTGTAGCTCCATGATAAATCTCGAAGTCAGGTAGTGTAAGTCTTTGTGAATGTTTTCCAGAGGGCTTTCGGCTAGTCAAGATTTTTCC